AGAAAAGATATAAACAAGGAAAAATAAATACATTGTGAGGATAGTCTGGTTGAAATGTGTTTATCTGTACCTTTTCAACACCTAAATGCAGATAATTCTTGTTCTTTCCACTGTTTTACAAAAACATTTACTCGAATTTGAAACTAGAATTACTGCTTTTGGGAACCATTAGTATTGGAAATGAAATAGAATAAAATATGGTAAACTAGAAACTTTCCTGCCTCTTGGGATAATGTAGGTGACCCTCTTCTTTCTCTTACTCCTAGTTAATCTTTTTAAAAGGTAAAAATAAATAAAACATGGAACACTACACAAAACTGTAATTCACTCCTTTTTTAAATTATTCATTTCCCCTCTTTTGAAATTACTCCAGTGACCAACTTAAATGTATAAAAGTAATTCTGGACAAAACACATAGTGTGTCAAGATGAGCATTTGGAGTTCATCAAATTATATAACAAGAGTTTTAAAATTAGTTGGATAGTTCAGACTACAATGCAACTCTGTAATTATGTAAGAAATCCTATACATTGATTATAAAGTATTTTCAAAATCACTTAATAAGAGTTTATCAAGGTAATTAAGTATTGAGAATTTGCAGTTAAGAGCGCTGCATCCAGCTGAATTTTGTTCTTGGGCTAGTTACTGAATCTGTTTCCTTAGCCATAAAGTAAATATTAATAACACTTTATAAGGTTGCTATTAGATTTAATAGGTGTAGTCGTTTAACAGAACTTTTAGCACATATTAAGTAAATACAAGAGATGTACTGTTATAGAGCATGTGAGTATGAATTTTAACTTCAGTTATTTGATAAAAAGTCATTTGAGGATTAGTTATATAAGCTACTTGTAGCTACAAAGCAAACAGCTTTTCCCACAATTCATTTCTTTGTGTGAATATGGGTTAGATTTGACTAAAAGAGAGATTTGGAAGGCAACATGGAAATAGTAACCATTTAGCTGTCACAGTCAGGTGCAGTGACAGAATCATAAAGTGCTTCCAGTTTACCTTTCCTCTCATGAGCTACATTTCCACTTCTTCTGTCCAGCTGTTGGTCCTGTTGACCAGTAACAAACTCCAGGCTACTCTTAGCCTTGACTGTGGACCAACAAAGGAGGAAGCTACAATGAGTTAATAGCATCTCATTGACATCTTCCCAAGGATCAGAACTTTGAAATTGGAACCTGGAAGGAGTTATTTGAACTCTTCCTGTCTCCAGTAGTAAATGTGTGTACAGACCTGGTATACAGTGACAAGATACTTATTTAAATTCTCACCTGCAGTCACTTGGAATAAAGTACCTATAAAAAGCAAGACTCTGGGTTACCAGATATTTACTGAAATAAAACCTCTTAATAGGAACAAAGGAAATGCTGAATGTTGGATTGATTTAGTGCTTCTATATGAGCTGAAGACTTAGAGAAAGGGAATAAGCTTGGTGCTTTAAATTCGCAACTTAGGATCTAAGTCAGGGGCCAGAGGCTTCCATGATTACCTGGAGATGAGTCCATTTAAACTGTGCTACTGATTTTCCACCATTTGTCCTCTCTCCTAAATATGTACCCAAGTTTAAGTCCTGGAGATCAGGTAAAAAGCAGTTACCTATACATGGTAAAGGAATGGAAAATTTTCACTAATTCACAGTGATTAAATCCCAAAGCATATGTATAGATATGTTTCTTAAGGGAGTTATATTAGGACAAAGGGAATACAATGCTGGATAAAGATTCACCTAGGTAGAGATTCTGTATATAAACTTTACTCACATGGTTGAGAGCAACTATAACAACTTTAGTAAAAACTGAACCCAGGCCCTCCCTGGTGGCGCAGTGGGTTAAAACACAGCACTGAGAATCTAAAGCCGCTTCCGCATGAGTTCGATTCCCGCCTGCCAAGGAGGTGACCACATGGCGTGGCAGACCTCTCCTGACCCGCCCGCTGCTCCCCTCAACCTGCCTGTTCTGCTCCCCACTCTGTCTCTGGTGAAGCCTCTCGCCACCCCTGAGCCTCTGGCCTGTACCCCAGTTCTGTATGCATAAATAAATAAATCTTTAAAAAAAAAAAAAACTGAACCCAGTGGTGGTTCTCAACTAAAGCTGAGATGTAAAACTAAAGCTGAGATGTAAAACTTCCTTTCATAGTGTAGTACAGAGGAAAGTATACACAAGGCTAAGGAGAGTTGTTTTAATATAATTGACGTGCTCACTCACACATTCCCTATGCCTTCCGAGAGTCCAGAGGGCATTCCATGTACGAAGGCTTTGAAAAATACAGTGGTGGAGGGGGCATCAGATTCCCTAAAGAACTTAACAGTGGCTGTTACCTGAAAACTGTGACATTAGGAAGTGATGCTGTAGAACTGAGATTTTGCAATTTAATGATGATGGAATACCATTAAGAGCAGGGTTTAGGTGACTTTGTTTCTCTGCTAAAGACAAGATGCTAATGGTTACTTAAAGGGCAAGAGTCAAAAGAAGTAACTGAACTGGTTTGACTGGCAAAGCTACTTGGTGCTGGGTAATGGATCATTGATTCCTTAGGAATGGAAATAGATGGGCACTAAGAAAGCAATAGGCTTGGTCTTGATTTATAAAAGTATTAGATTACTAGATTTAGTATACAGTCTGATTTGAATCATGACACCAAGAAATTGTACTCTCTTGATCAATTTATATGTAAAACCAAGTTCACATGCACAGAACTCCTTGAATAAAAAAAAAAAAAAAACTATCTTGAGAAGGGATCCTGCCACACTGTCAAAAATTCATACTGTAAATCTCTCTCTCGTAGTTTTCCATTTATGTGAACTATTTAGTTAAAAAGGAAATCAACCATTTTGATGATTACTGGATTATGACTCTGTACCGATACTAATTCCTGTTGACCCTAAATTGCCACTGTAGTTTCACAGTCGATTTAATCAAGTTTTGGATTATTTCCATAGCAGTGACCCTAGAATCTCTGATACATCCCATATCTTTTATAATTTTGGATGGCATCTTTAGAGTAGAAATGCCCAGAAACTGGCAGGATTCCATCTCCCTTTGTTTGTGTCATGGTTTATGAAATGACAGCTCTATGCTTATGTAAATCTTGGTGTTACCACAATGTGAATTACTGTGAAGCAGAAATCTAACAGAATACTCTTAAGTTGTTTTTTTGTTTGTTTGTTTTTAAATGAAGACTGGGTTCTGGTACCCGCTGAGGGGAAACACATGGGAAGCCTAATAATATGCACTGAACTATTAACCAGTATATGTTGCTTTTCTACCTAGACTTATGGATTTAGAAACCAATGAATAAAATTGAGAATGTTACCTTTTACAATTTCACTTTTCCCAGCTTCCATTTCCTTACTGTGTTTTATAAGATGTGCTGAAAATGAGTAATCTTTTACTTCATCAGTTAAAAGGCATACATAGTAAGGGTCAATGCAGAAACAAAATAAATCCTCCCACATTAAAATAAATGTTGAAATGAAGATGAAAGTATTCTTGAGGAGAGTGTCAATAACTGTGAGGAATGAGGTTCTACCACAGTCTGTCAAGTTAGCATGCTGTACTTTGAGGGCAAAAGACACTGACTTCTGGCTTGGAAACAAAGAATTTTATTACCCACAGCAATAGCAGTAATTAAAGAATTAACATTTTCTTACATCTGTTCCCTGACCCCAGATCCCCACAAGGTAACATGAGCCAGGTGACACCTGCGCATGCAGGGGGCCATATCACAGGAGAGGGAACCCAATAAAGGAACCTAAACTTCTATATTGAGAAGACAGCATGTCTGCCCTTTTCCCAAGGAAACACATTAAAACAACTTGCAAGGGTTTTTACTACACAAACATTCCTTAGAAGACACTCCAGAACAAAAGCAGACAGTGCCAAGACATGTGGAAATCTGAGACACCTGTGAAGATCTGCCTCCCAACAGGAAGTTTCACATACTTTATTGAAAAATCTAGGAAATCATGTGAATCATGTACAGTATTTTCTCACAAGAAAAAAAAATTAAGCTGTTCTTAAACGTTTCACAGAATTGTAAAACTCTTTAATTTTAAAGGAAAAAGCACATTGAAACTACCACAGTATGTAAGCTTCCCCCCGTTATTTCTAGGGAAAAGGCAGAAAAAATATTTAGCACACTTTCTTACTATGATTTATAAGGCTAGTACTCTACTCTTTGATCAGTCTGCTAAAAACATACGATGAAATGGGTGGATTGATACTTTGTTCAAATTATTTTAAAAAGCTAAAATCTACTGACATGTAAAATAAAATATTTTTGCAGGATGTTACCATTTCTATAATAGTTTTTCTACACTATTTCAACAGTGCAATGGTGATTCAGTGTAAATCATTACAGTGTTTCATTGCTACAATACTTGTGTTCAAGTACATGTTCATGAACATGATCAAGATCTCAATTTGACATTTCTTTCCCATCATTAAAATAAGGTTATAATTACAGTAGAAATTTTGCTACTGATATCTCTAAATCTGAACCAAATTCATCATACATTCTCTAAAAACCTGTTCAACACTATGAGGTTTGTTATGTTGACATATCTTCTGCAGATTATAGAAAATGGGCTAATTCTGCCTCAGAACACCAAAAAGAAATTACTCCTCTCCATATATAACGAAAGTATTGTCTAAGTTAGTTAGTATGCATTCTGAATAGTCGATTGGTATTGGCAAGGAGAGAGTAAGTAGCACCTTGGAAAACAGCCCTAAGTTTAAAAAAAATTGGGTTTAATTTTCATTCCAGACAATGGATCAAACGTACTCGTATATAATTATGAAGCCATATAATATAAGTCAAAATGTTTGTATAACCAAAACAAACCATATGGAATGTTTGGCGGACAAAGAAATAAATTAATTTGATTAAATTATATGTAATCTGATCATATTTTGTCGGAAAAACATGCTAGTGTGTGTGTGTATTTATAAATAATATCGCATCGAGCTGTGTGCCAGCCAGCCTGCTGGGGGTCAACTCTTCTGCTGTAGCTTCTGGGCATAGAAGTCCCTGCATGTCTCACAGCAGCGCTGGTACCATCGCATGTCCTGACACAAGTTCTTCTCACGTATCACTCGGCAGTATACAGGCCACTGGTCTCCCAGGCACTTGAAAGTCAGAGCAGCTGTAAGGTAGGACACAGGGAATTTAGTATGTGCAGATACCATGTCATGAGTAGAAGTCAGTTTCATTTAAATGAGGATATTTAGTATACTCACATTGCCTCATTTACCAGCTGGAACTTAAAAGTCAAAGAATCTCTCACTCATAATAAAGGAGTAAACTGAGTGAATAATGTTCTCACTATTGAATTTATTTTTCTGTTCCCTATTTTTTTTTTCCTCATATTGTTGTAGGCCCTGTCGATCTCCCACCAACCATGTCAGCCCTGAACCATCACCATATTCCTTTGTGTTCTTTCCCTCCTTTGCTGCATGCCTCAGCTCTGGGGTCACCTGGCTGGTTCTGACTGCTTCTTTACCTTCTCTTTGGTATACACCACATATAAGTGAAACTATCCAGTTTCCATGTTTGTTCCTCTGACATAGGCTAGCGCAACACCTTCTGGCTCTTTCCACATTGCTGCAAATGGCACGGGCTTGTCTTTTTTGATCACTGAATAAAATTCCATTATATAAACATACCACAACTTTTTGATATATTTATTAATGGATTTTTTAAAGCAGACTAGTTTAGTATATTCAATAAGTTATATTGTAAATAGCTTTTAAGTTTGACTTTATGGTGTTTCCTTTGGATTTCTGGTAAGGTTGAAAAGATGTACTCAGCATAACCTGTGGGAATGAAGATAGCTATGAAAACTGTAAAAAGTAGCAAAATAAAAATATACACACACTTACTTTACATTCCTCGTTGCCTAGATAATAGTCATGTTTAGGTGACATACCTGGGTAGGGTTATTTCTGGGATTTTTTTTTTAAAGATTAATTTATTTGTGCATACAGAACTGGGGTACAGGCCAGAGGCTCAGGGGCGGTGAGAGGCTTCACCAGAGACAGAGTGGGGAACAGAACAGGCAGATCGACAAAGTACACTGCTGAGGGGAGCAGCGGGCGGGTCAGGAGAGGTCTGCCACACCATGTGGTCACCTCCGGGGCAGGCAGGAATCGAACTCATGCAGCAGTGGCTTTAGATTCTCAGTGCTGTGCTTTAACCCGCTGTGCCACCAGGGAGGGCCTATTTCTGGGATCTTTAAAATTAAAGTTGATCATCACAAGTGGTTGAAGTGTATAATAAAATGTAGTGTATAAAATTTGTATATAATATATATGAAATTTATATATATTATAACATTGTAATGTTATAATGTAGTATATAAAATTTGGATATATACAAATGATTTGAACTCAGTTTTTCTTAAATACTCTATTTTGTTATAATAAATTAATTCTGCTATTGTTCCTTTATGTCTATATAAGTCTTTAGTCAGTATTCTAATAACGCATTATTTAACTTAAAAATCTTAGATTTTTCTAACCACTGTTCTTTATCCTTTGGGATATACCTTGAAGATAATAATACACACATTAAATGCAGTGTTAGTTAAATTCTTCCTGTAATCCATTATTTTCTGTTTTGAGGTATTTCAAGGATTCCAAGTAATTGTTAGATAAAGGGATTAAATGGTTTTGAATACATGGATTTGGTACATTTGCCTTAGGATTACTTTTGTTTTAGCTAAGCTTAATTCAGTTTGAACTAATGATGTCTTAGAAAAAAAAAATTTTTTTTTCTAGAGAAAAGAATTTTTACATTTCCAAACCTCTATTTGAAATGCTGTTTGACCTAGAAAAGTTGGACAATTTAGGTCTTAGGTTTTGGGAACATTATTTGATGTCACTCAATTCTCCTTGAAATATGCACAGGTTAAAACTGAAGGTGTTAATTACCCTACTGATAGTCAACTAGCACTGCTATTAAGTCACTAATCACCACAGAAGTACAGTGTAATTGATGAATATTATGCATACACTGTCTGTATCTCAAAATACATAACCTACCTGATGGGAATTGAGAAGATATATGAAAATACGCCATACATAAAAAACTATTTAAATCAGTTATTAGTATTTATTTGTATTTAATATTAATGTTTCTAAAGAAGGAAAAAAAAAAGAGTTATTGGTATAGATCCATGTGCCCATCCTTCTTGAAAGCCATTTTTATTACTTTGTCTCCCAATGATAGTTAGCATCCAGAACCACAAGGAAGGATTCCAAAGTGTATACAGTTTCACCTTTTCACAGACATTGCTTTAATGAAGTTCTGCAGTAGGGCTAGTCAGAGCCCATAATATGGTTATATGCTTGATTTTTTTTTATATTTACTTATGCGTACAAAAACTTGGCTACAAGCCTGGTAAGGGGGTGTGGGGAGAGGAGGGCTGTTTGAGAGGAGTCACCAGAGAGAAAGTAGAGAACAGAACAGGCAGACTGCCTGAAATACACTGCTGAGGGGAGCAATGGATGAGATAGGAGAGGGTCACCTCTGGCTGGGCATGGCACTTGTGGTACAGTGGCTGCCTATAGCTTCACAGTGCTGCACTTTAAGCCCTTGTGCCAGCTGGGAGGGCTCCTGATTCCTTTCTTTATAAGATGACCTTGGTGGTATGGCAGTAGTAGTTTCAGGCCTGGGGTGTGAGAACAGCTTCAGGAATCAAAATAGCTTTTATAATTTTTTTTTAAAGATTTATTTATTCATACAGAACTGGGGTACAGGCCAGAGATGCAGAGGGTGAGAGGATTCACCAGAGACAGAGTGGGGAGCAGAACAGGCAGATCAACGAAGTATACTGCTGAGGGGAGCAGCGGGCGGGTCAGGAGAGGTCTGCCACACCATGTGGTCGCCTCCGGGGCAGGCGGGAATCGAACTCATGCAGAGGTGGCTTTAGCTTCTCAGTGCAGTGCTTTAACCCGCTGGGCCACCAGGGAGGGCCAGCTTTTATAATTTTTAATCCACCTGACAAAACTAGTTATATAGGCTCAACTGAGTCAGAATTAAACTAACTAGTATGTAACTGAGCTTTAATGAGTTAAACAGAAGCAGCCACTAGCATGTCTTATGTTTCTCAGACTCAACCCCCATTTGGTCTGCTTACCCAGTCTGGGTGATGTTATTGTATTGACATTAATCTTCTCATTGCAGGGTTGAAGGTGGCATGGCCTGTAAGCTGCAGGTTTTTCTGAAGAAAAACATTCATTTCCATGTCTTCCTGTTATCTTATGCATGCACTGGACAACACGGGACTGCATTCCTTTGCCACAGGTAATTGAGCACTAGAAGAGAAACAAAGTTTGTTAGAAGTTCTTTATTGCTGCTTACTTTCCCTAGGCTGTGAACCACCTTCTCCCTGACATGCAGCATCCAGAATTGATTGAAAAACATGGGTCAGAAGTACTAATAGTCCCAACTTGAGCACGATGGTCTTCAGAACCTCTAGTTAACCTAAGGCAGACCATTAGGCAATTGAGAGATAAAGAAGGTTAAAGAAAGTTGGGAAGTAACACTAGACGGAAAAAGCAGTGAATGACATCAGTAATGTACTTTGGCAAAAAAAAAAATAGTTAAAATTCTAGTATCTATTTTGCAACCAGTAACTGATAATTCTCTAGTCATTGATAATCAAGTACTAGGTCAGCGTGTAGCTGGGTCTTGCAACAACCTTTCACTCTGATCATGCACACTGTGTTTACTGTAGCCATAACACTTTCATCAGTAATACCAAGACAGCTTATCAGTCTGATGTGTAACTGAAATATCAGTGATTGGTTGACCGATTGAATTAACCCAATGTTACTAATGAACTGATTTGGATTTTTCTCATAAGTAGCCTTTTCATGGATTTACTATTTTTCAACTAAATGTAGTTTCATTTTTAACAAACTTTAGAAAAGACAGCAAATGTATTTTTTTGTAGAGGTGACTTGGTTCTATTTATCTTACAAGTTTAGTCTGTGACACAAATCAACAGATGCTAACTTGACTATGATTATTTTAGTATCAAAATTCAGTGTGAAAGGTTAAGTGCTTATGTTTTTGAAAATGATGATTTATCTACTGGCTAATATTTTATACAGTAAAGAACTAGTCATATTTGGCAAAATAATTCTAAAGAATTTAGAGCTAGGGAAAATTTATCTTGATATATTCTACTCGAAGTTGGTAAGTATTTTTTGATTGTTACCTATATGCCATACAATTTTTAATTCCTGTTTTACAAAATCATTGGTAGGATTACATTCATTTTGCTGTCAGTTCTTCACTGCCACCACTAGTCCCAGCTCTTATATTTTTTAATGATTTATTTTTATATATTTATGCATATACGAACAGGGGTGCAGGCCAGAGGTGCAGGAGGATGAGAGGATTCACCAGAGACAGAGTGGGGAGAACAACAGGTAGATCCACTGCAACACACTGCTGAGGCGAGCAGCAGGTGAGGCAGGAGAAGTCTGCTGGGCCATGTGGGTCAGTACCCTGGCCAGGGATGGAACTGAGGCCCCAGTGGTGGTAGTGCTGAGACTTGAGAGAGCCTCCCAGGTGGCACAGGGATTCTTATTTTCATTTGCACAACAGGAAGCATCCCTCACAAACACTCATCACCCCAAGCCACATTTTTCTTTATATTTAGTCCCATGTTTTTGAATCATCCTCATACGTTTATAGTTCATGTTTTTTTTTTTTCAAAATTTTTTTGTTTATATTTTAGCCTGAAATACCGATGATTGACTTACTAATTGTCTACACGGTACACTGTAGTATCTCAGAATCTCTAGGGTGGACTTTTCTGTCTCTTCAACTTTAATTTCAATCATCCACATTAAGAATCATTTACTTTATTAGGGACTAATCATAGTATTTTCATAATAACAATATCAAGCACTTGCTGGTTATTTTATGAAACATATTGTGATTAAGAAATGATTACAAATGTGTGAAAATGAACAAATGTTTGAAATGGAAGTGACCAAAATCCCAAGATAATTTCTTAATTAGCTTTTAGTTTATTATAGAAAATAGGTTATTTTTCTCAAAGCACATTACTATGATTAAAGACAGGCATTAAAACAAAATATCAAAATGACTGAGATTAAAATGCATGACCTGGGCACTAAGCTTGTCTCTAGCAACTGATTTACCTGGAACTTACTTTTCCTTTTGTTAATAAACAAGGCATGTTAGAGTATCACAGCTGTACTAAAAGGTATATATTACTATGAAAGTAAAAGTTCCAAAATGACTTTTTATTAAATCACTGAAGTGTTACAGTTTTAAAGTAGTGACACTGTAGAAAGTAAAGCTAGTTAGATAAATTTCATTATCTGACTTTTCATTGTGCTGTCTGGTGATGGTGTGAAATAAGTTCTGTGAAGTTTGAAAATAAGTTAGCTTGAATATCTAAGAATAGTCATTCATGTGTTGGCTTTTCAAATATTTATAGATCATTATGTTTAATGTCCTGTGAAGGACATAAAAACAACAAATTATTTAAGTGCCAGCTCCAGAAATTTGTAAACTTCACTAATAATAACCCTGACATAAACTAGACATTTACTGGCAAACCTAGGCAATCCTTGACATATCACGCATGCTAATACTATCCTTTTTATGTAATCAAAAATCAGTTTTCCCTCACCAGTCAAATTAACCTGTAACCCTTATGCTTTATGATTAGGTTAATCTTAATAAATTAGAAGAGCATACTGTTTGAACTCAGGTTATAGGGAATAAGATAAAATATTGCCCTAAGAACAACTTATCATTAAGTGGAGCAATCATATAACTAACCCAAATTGGAGCACTTTTGAGAATAGTCGCTAATAATAATTAATCCAGACTATAGGCAGGCAGGGGACAGTCCTGGGTGAACTGGGATATGGAGTTACCCTAACCAGTGAGCAACATAAGACACAATAATGGATACATGAATTAACACATTCCAGGCATTATCTTAGGAGTTTTTACACAGAATGTCTTGGCTTATCTTCCTCATAACCCTAATAACTTTACAAATTGAAAGCATGACACTCATGTCTGTAACCTGTCAAACACTGCTCTGGATGCTGGGATGTGATACACAAAGCAGACAGAAACATGCATTCCTAAGGAGTAGTTAGCATTCTAGTGGAGGGAAGCAAGAAAATAAAGAAGCAAAATTCATTGTAATGTAGTCAGTGATGGGTGATTTGGACAAAAACCTGGAAAGGACTGGGAAATTTTGTGGTGAGAGTCTTGTGATTTAAATGGGGACAGTAAAGGAAGTATTCAAGGGGGAAGGTAACACAAGACTTCCTCCATAAGGAGAGACAAATCTCAGCGTCTTTGGGGTCCACATGGGGTGCTCTTTCCACTGTCTCTACACATCCTGTATCAATTTCAAGGGTGCGGTGCCTTCTGCTCTTCCCTCAGTTGTTTTCCATTACAACAGTCAAATGCTGTTCCTCACAGATGCAGCAAATAAATTTGAAATAAGGCAACACTACAAACTTGACTAAATGCTGAAATGTCAACATCAATTTGCCAGCAACTGGTAAAGAAACACAGGTGCTCTGGATAACTTGCCATTGCAATTTAACAAAGAAAAAGTCCCCATTAGAGTTTTTATTAAGGAGAGACTTGTATTGTCTGACAAATTTTCTGTTTCCCAAACAGTTTAATATTGCCCCGAAGGAACTTGAAACAGGCACCTCATGAATCAATTCCATGATCAAGAAGCTGTTCATTCTGAGCAGGAAACACGATCTTAATGTCCTAAGTTTACTAGAGTAAAAAGGAAGCAGTGATCCTGAGAGTAAACCTAAAGAGCTTAGAAAATTTTCTCATGACTTCAGAATTAAAAACAGCTCTTTTGACAGTGATAACAAGGCACAAAGAAAGCTGATGTTTACCTTTCTTTCCCACCAAGTGAAAAGCCCAGTTTTTAAAGTGATACTTGCTTTACTTACTTTGTGATAGTCATCATTTTAATCTGCCTGCGAAAATTTAAATGCATTTAAATGCTGTCACTTTACATTTCACTTATAATTACTAAATCCTTTCTTGCCCTAGGACAATAGTGATAATTTCTAAGCCTATATTAAGTTGTGGCTACACTGTAGCTTGCATACCAAACACGTTAACCATGATAAAGAAAACCTTCTAAATAACTTAATCAGTTGGGACTACTAAAACATTAGCGAAATCATTTAGTAAATGAGAACCATGCAAATGGTAGCAATTCAACAATACAGCCCTCACTTCTTTTAAAGTGAAATACACATTATTGTTTTGGAGCTAAAACAAGTTTAGTTCCTTTCTGTTGGTCTTAGGCCAGGTAATAAGAGGTGACTTTATTATACCTAAAGATTATTTATTTATTTTTGAAGATTTATTTGTTCATACAGAACTGGGGTACAGGCCAGAGGCTCAGGGGCGGCGAGAGGCCTCACCAGAGACAGAGTGGGGAGCAGAACAGGCAGATCGACTAAGTACATTGCTGAGGGAGCAGTGGGCCAGTCAGGAGAGGTCTGCCGCGCCATGTGGTCACCTCCTGGGCAGGCGAGAATCAAACTCATGTGGAAGTGGCTTTAGTTTCTCAGTGTTGTGCTTTAACCCGCTGTCCCACCCAATAATCTTGGGAGGGCCCAAGATTATTTATTATAAAATGAAAGTATAAGCAAAGGCCAACTTGGTAGAAGTGTATGGTGAGCAGGTCAGTGTGAAGCTTTTAAAATTACATACTAACACAGTAGCTTTAGGTGGGCATTTGGCCAGTACTGGTAAAACTGGCTAAGATGCCATAATTTGGCAACTTAATGGATTGGCCTGCAAGCAAACAAATACAGAGAAATAGAAAAAAAGGTAGGGGGAACATACTGGAAAAATATAAATAATTCCAATTGTTGCATTATTTTAGAACCAAAGGGAAAAAATGAACTCTGAATGGCTTTGAAGTCCCATGTGAAGGTATGGATGAGCCAAGGTATAGAAACGTCTTCTGCAGAAAAAGATGGAGTAGTGAGGCAATACACCAAAATGAATTTTTTAAAAAGATTTATTTATGCATACAGAATTAGAGTACAGGCTAGAGGTACAGGGGTGGTGAGAAAATTGAGGAACAAGACAGGTGAGTTAACGAAGTACACTGCTGAGGGGAACAGTGGGCAAGACACTAGAGGTCTACTGCACCATGTGGGTCACCCCCCTGGCCAGGGATCTAACTCGTGCTGAAGCACCTGTGGCTAGTTTCATAGTGCGGTGCTTTTAACTTGTTGCACCACCAGGGAGGTCCCCTGCC